TGAGCTCCCTTTTCAGATTCTGCATGCTCACATTCAGGCCAAAGTTCTTTGTGAAGCTTGGGCATTCATTCGGGAGATGTAATCGCTAGCAGTCCTAACTGGTCTAAAGATGACGACAACGGATATTTCTATCCTACCTTTCCTCCCAAAGGAGCTCAGGGTGGCAGATGCCAAAGTGCGAAAACCATACAGCTTTCACTGGCCTAGAGGGTTTCTTCTCATAATAAGAATTCAGCTAAGATGTGGGTCTAAGTAGACCATGGCCTGCATAAAACCAAATTCTGCCAATGGTGTTCAAGTGTACCCAAAACAATGAAATTCGTTTCATACATGATATTGCATATTTTGTGCTATTTTATGCATTGTGATTTGCTGTTTTTATTGATAATAGATTACTAATTCTTTATCATAATGTTTAATTATTATTTGCTGATGTTTAATTTTACTGTTTACTATTAGATTCTAATGGATTGTTGAATATTTCTTTGATATAAGTTGCTTATTTTAAAGTTATTGTGACTTTTTAATATTGGATCAGATTGTTACTATTATTATGTTTTTATATGTGATGGAAGCTGCCCAGAATGGCTGGGGCAACTCAGCCTGATGGTCGAGTTATAAATAAAAAAGTATTATTATTATTATTATTATTATTATTATTACTACTACAATATTTAACTATATGATAGTGCATATTGATCTTCAAAAGATCAGAGATACACCTGTTGAGTTCAACTAAGTTTTGTATATGAAAGGGTATTTTTCCTATAAGAAGTTACTGCATATAAAAGGTGACAGACTACTCCCCAAAATGCTATATATCACTAAGGATAGCATGCATGGCTGGAAGAAATGTGAAGATGCTGTCCTTAATTACCTGCTGACCCGTCATTAATTAAGAGCCGTCTCAGTGACTTCAGCTGTGGGTAGGATTAAGAGCTGGATCAAAGAGTTTGACATACAGCCTGACATGGGTGGTGTGTCTAAGCTGCAAGTTTCTCTGTGGTACAGGATCATTAAATTTAACCATACCCTGGGGTCATATTTGCATAATTGAGCTTTCCGTACTTTGTGCAGTCCTTTCAACTTCTGTGCGCTTTCTTGGCATACTTGGTGCCAAATGGCCATTTAGTGAATGATCTATTTTAAGTCTGGCCTCGCCAAGAGCACTTCCTAAAAGATGCGGTCCATTGTGTTTTTAATTGCTTGTTTTATTTCAGTTCTAGGGGAAATGTTTCTACCTTAAATTCTCACAAATTTCTTGATGGGTCTTTTTTTTTTTTAAGACTTCTCTGTGTTATTAGATCTTGAGAAGTTTAAAACAGATAGGGCACAGGTAGAGAACTTCATGCCTAAGGAGAAATGTGGCTCTCCAATCTCCTTGTGTTTTATCCAGGACATGCCCCTATTAGGCCTGCTGCATGCTCCCATTGAGTCCATTTTCATGGCTACAGTGTGGTCTACAGCTGTGGCTACAGCTGTGATGCTTGCCTGGATAGAAAGAAGGGTATCTCTGTGTAGAAACCCCTGGATTTTGCATGGCTGGACCATAGCCTACTGAGTCAGAACCTTTGGCTCCTTTTTCCTCTGCCCCCACCCACCTTTTCCTCTGGCCCTGTCCACCACAGGCATGTGACCCCTGGACACATGAGAAAATGTGTCCCTTGGCCTGAAGAAAGGTCCCCCAACCCTGATATAAGACCACCTTGTTTGCATCTGCAAGAAGATAGAAAATTGTTCTGCAACATTTGGGGATCAAGGAATCTTCATGTGGCTGGGAATATTCTAATTGTTATGACACTGAAATAAATTGAGATGTTTTTGTTTAACTAGGGCTCATTCACTCTTCCTTTTTTTCCGCTGCTTTTCCCCAGGGAAAACAACTCTTTAGTGCTCAATTTGGTTTTTCTGCAGGTTGACGTTTGTGCCGATTTAGAATTGAAGAGCAGGTTTTCCCTGGGAAAGAAGCGGGACAAGGGGGAAACTGCTTGGACCCATGCTTTCTAGGCATGGGGCAATTGGAAGGGTGGATTAGCCCTAACTCTAATAATGTTCTGCTCACCATGGTGATAAGCATTGGTTTAAATAAATACAATTCCTTCCTTCCTTCCTGTTTGTGTGTGTGCATTGCCTTCTGTCATGAAGATTTCCCTCATCACTGCTGCTGATGCTTGGTACTGGGTCTCTTGTTGTGGAGAAGATCTATGCTTATCTTGCTTGTTTAAGTGGATTCTGTGTGATGGAGACAATGTGAAAGGGATTAAATTACCGTAGAGATCTCTTTGGGGGATCCCTTCCAACTCCCCATAGTCTGACTGCTCTGTGACTGCAGCTCCCATCCACTTTGACCATTGGCCAAGCTGACTAAGGCTGATGGGAACTGGAGTCTAACAACATATGGAGAAGTTACAGATAGGTAGCCGTGTTGGTCTGCCATAGTCAAAACAAAAAAAAATTCCTTCCAGTAGCACCTTAAAGACCAACTAAGTTAGTTCTTGGTATGAGCTTTCGTGTGCATGCACACTTCTTCAGATACACTGAAACAGAAGTTGCCAGATCCTTCTATATAGTGAGAAGGTGGGGAGGGGTATTACTCAGAAGGGTGGTGGGAATGGGTGATTGGCAGATAGCTGTGATGAGCCTGTCTGTATTTCAGTAGCATCTCACATGTAAGCCACCCCTACATTAAGGTATGGCAATGAGCAAAGTAATCATTGTAAAAGCTTTGTGAAAGGGGCAGATGACGCTTCTAGCCAGAATGCAGTGTGTCTAATTCAATGCTCACAAAGTTACTGAAAGATATTTGTACAAGGGCATATCCAGCTGGAAAAACCCTTCAAAAGCAAGCTACAGTCTTAGTTGCCCAGCCTTCCTTAATTTTTGTTTTAACATATGGAGAACTACAGCTTTCACATCCCTACAATAAAAAGAAACCAAAGTACTTGGGTTTTCTTTTCTTTTCTTACTGAAGTTTTCCCATGTTCCCAATTAGAGGGAAATCACATTGGAAAACATCACCATTGCCTAGGAGTATAAGCCAAATAATTGCTCCTGTGATGATGGATGCTTTTGTTCTTTGGGATCCTGCCAGTGAATATTGATGAAAAGGCCTCTGGGATGAACTCTATTCATCTACAATTCATGAATCTATTTCCCCAAATTAATAATAGCTAAGTATCCAAACCGCTGCTGTCTGTCCTGATACCAAATCATCTAGGGCCTTAATTGCTTGACTTTGAGTTGGGCCCCTGGTTGATGAAGTGGAAACTGCAATTTCTTGAAGTCTCGCAAGGCAAGGAAGGCACCTCACCCTTGGTAGGTCCATAACTTGTCAGATTTTTTCTCCAGCAGAGGACTAGCTCAAGCTGAATCGCTCTCCTCTGAAAACTGCATGGAGCAGTAGCAGCACAGCAGCATGCACCTAGTCCTTGGTCTACCTGTCCATGTTCTATATAAAAGAAAGGGCAGTTGCTACAAAATAAGTAATTGCCTCTCTGCTCTCACACTGCCCTAATACAACTTTCATGTTTGTATGGCTGAAACAGAAGTTTTATATTGACTTACCCCTTTCCTGCCAACCCAGGCATCCAGTACTCCAGGTGAAATATAAATGGATGATGTAGATTAGTGGTGGGAAATGTGATAGGAACCTCAGAGTGTTTTCTGTGGTCAGGATTTGGTGATACTAATAGTTAAGCACCTTAGGCTGCATTACACTTTGGGTAGAAGATTGCCTGCACGTTTTCCTTCCTCTTAAGTCAGTTTTCATACTTTCTAGAAAACAAGAAAACTGGAGTATCAGGAGGCTTAACTTAAAACTCCTCATCTCTGTTCCTAGCTTTTGTGTGGTGTTGGGTACATTACATGAGTATCCTATCAATCAAAGGGATAACTGGGAGCTTCACACAAGCAGAGTGGCACTGTCTGGTGCAATGGAGATTGTGCCTTGTGTTTTTATAGGAGACCACACATTCCTGGAGCTCAGGGGGCCCTGATGGGGGGGGGGAGGATGTGTCAGGCTGTCAAATGGATGGTTTTAACATGCATCTATCAATGCCTCTCCTTGTGGAATCCTGGAGAAGTCCTGAGGAAGTCCCATCAGGAGGCAATGGCTCCCTCAATTTCATAGCCTTTGGTGGTTTAGTGCCATCCAGTGTGATGGCCCTAGGCTGTCCCATTAGATTCCCATGGCCCCAGTTTGAACTGAGGCCCACAGTAATGTTGTGTTCTTCTTACTTTTCTCCTTAAGGGCACAGATATGGATCAATCTTCTTGATAGGCTTAAGCCAATCTCTCCCCCTGCCCATCTTGACTTATTGACATTCATGACAACAAAGCTTGACAATTGTTGACTTACGAGGGTATTCTTTCATGCACCATAGGATTGCTGAAAAGTAGAGATGGGACACCTGTGGCCATCCAGGTGTGGCTGGACTCCAACCTGCATTGTCCTTGACCATTGGCTGGGCTGCCTGCAGTTGATGGATATTGGAACCCATCAACACTTGCAGAGTCACACCTTCTCCACTGTTGTTGGGACAGAAGTTTTCTTCATTGAGCTGTTATATAAATAAAGCAAACAGATAAAGGGTGCCAAATTATTTTCTTCTTCTTCTTTTTACAAATCTACTTGCAATACAATGTGAATAAATGACAAAATCATTATTCAATATAAATGGAGTTGTCGGCTGTAGATCCATAATGCATCTAAATGATATGCAATGTATCTAACATATTCTAATGCGGTTATGTTTTATCCTTTCTGCAGCATCATAGGAGAGAGCATTCTCTGCTCCCTTCTTTGTATGGATTTAATGAAACAGGGGACACAATGTGAGAACAATCCTGAATGCATTCAACATGCATCAAGTGGGCAGTCAGATCTGCTTTATCACAGATGTTCTTTCTGCTGTCTTTTATATAATTAACACAGAGGAAATATGATTGCTTAAGCATTTTAAAACCTGGGGAAAGGCTGGGATAGGGTGGGAGAGCAACTTGTAAGGTGGTATTTAAAAATCTCCTAGGTGCTGCAGGACTGGCTGCCTTATTCTTCCCAAGTGGTGTTTAGAGAAAAGTCATGTGAGCTTGGAGGAGAATGTGTGCAAGGACTGCCGGCATATACTGAGCTGTGTAGTGGGAGACAGAGTGTGAGTGAGAGACTGCTTGTACAAAGCTAAAGTGCAGGCTGCAGTTACAGCTTCTGCAGTCTTGGAGCTAATACTTGTGATCTGTCTTGGCATCCTTCATTCCCAGGGCGTGTGAACCCTCCAGATTCCCAAGATAACAGTCACAGAGAGAGAAAAGGAGAGGATGCTTTTCAAATTCTGAAAATATCTCCTGGGAGATCCCACTGCTTTCATTGAATTTTACAAAAAGGTAATGTACTTTCTGTTCTGTTTCTCTCATTTTATTTATGATTTTTATTTTATTGAAATGCATTCTGTACCCTCTATCTGTTTTGAGAAAACTGGCTGTACTTTAAAAGGTAATAGATCCCCTTTTAATTTTACCTAAGAGGAAAGAATCCCTTGTCTGGATATGCAAAAAATTACTGATGAAATGAGAGCAAACTGAAATGTATCTCGGGTCCTGAGCCAACGATGCAGTGTACCTCAATCTAAGAGGGGTTAAAACTTATCTGGAAAACTCATCAAGTTTTTGGTGCTACCTAGTATTTTAAAAGTCCAAAGGAGTTTCAAACACTTCAATGATTTTGAATCTCTTCTCTAACCTAGTATCTGAAGTATGTGGGGTCTATCAAGTTTTCTTTCATTGCTTTCTAGAGGACTAAATGAGTTCAATTCAAAAGCACTTTGGTGCAGTAGGGAACCTGGATTAGTTTATTACTTTGCTAGGTAGTGATGTTCTTGAGTCCAGGTTTTTCTGAACGTCCTCTGCCACTTCATGCTTTCCTTTTCCCAGTACTGTTCTTTCCTTTTATATTAAAAAAATGTTTAAGAAGGAGTTCAGGACTGTTCCAATGACACCTTTATCATCTTTAGTGATGTCTCTATGAATTGCACTCTTTTAATTTCACTCTTCTCTTTCCAGTGTATTCATCTGCTCCTGTCTCCTCTTCTCTACCTGGGCCCTCCATGGAATCCCCAGTGTATATTTTTCGTGAGGAGCTGGGCCCTACCTGCTCCCCAGGACCTTGCCCACTACCTAGCAGCAGTAGCAGCAGCTGGCTTGTGGACTGGGCAGAATATGGCAACAATAGTAGTGGCGCTTATGAGGACTTACAGCAGAATGACACCAACATCTCCCCGGCTATTCCCATAATCATCACTGCAGTCTACTCCATGGTCTTTGTGGTGGGCTTGGTTGGCAACTCTTTGGTCATGTTTGTCATCATAAGGTAAGGATTTTGGTGGGTCTTTTAACTGTCATTGTAGGGGGAAAGCTACTTAACTAAAGGGAACTAAGGGAAAATAGGAAGGGTCATAGCTTAGTGGTAGGTAGAGCATCTACTTTGCATGCAGAAGATCCCAGGTTCAGTTCCCAGCATATCCAGGTAGGACTGGGGAGACTTCATGCTGGAACCATTGAGAGCAGCTGTCAGTTAGCATACACAATACTGCGCTGGGTGGATCAATGGTCTGCCATGTTATAATGTTTCTTGTAAGGGGAAAAACTCTCGGTTTCTTGATGGTTGTGTCTTGATGGTTGTGTCCCTTGGGCTGCTTGAATTCTAAGATGCTTCCTTACTGAGGGCTATTTGAGTGCCAGGACCAAACTACAGATGCTGGATTGGTGCTTGCAAATGGCAGGGTGGGAGGGATGGCAGAAACCCCTCATTTATGTGGCATTACTAATTCAAGATAGTTTCCCTCACAGTTTACTGTGCTAACCCAACAAAGGGGGAAACTGCTTTGTGGACACAGATGTGACTGTTTTAAGTTTGAGTCAGAGACTGTCTTCATTTGGTTGTAAGAATAAAAGTGAAAACTGAAGCAGAACATGGGCTTGAAAATTAAAAGTCTGAGAGAGTCAGTGCTGGAAAGCACTGTGGAAATATGTGAGCAGAGCTCCCTCCAGGGATAAGACACAGTTAATGTGGTCTATATTATTGCTAACATTATATAATACACATACACTTTAACTGCCAGTAGATCTAGTATTTATAATATTTTCCTTTTTTGTTTTTCAAATGAAACAGTGTCATTATTTATTATTATTATTTAATCTATATAGAAGTTTTGTTACTCTCCCTCCCATCCCCCACCAGATGTCTCAGCAGTATAACATGGGTATAGGAGCTTTGGAAGAAAAGATTCCCCCACCAGGCCTAAAAGAGCCCTGTTTTACCCCCACTCCCTGCATGTGAGTAGATGTGCAGGCAGCACAAAATGCCATTGAGGTAAATGTGAGGCCACTGTAGCTTTATCCAAGCGTCCTTTCTCATCCTGTGAAGAAGGGAGAGCAAGGCTGTGCTCACTACATAGCCTTCCTAATGGTCTGACTCCAAAGGTTGGGTTCTGAACTTCTACAGCAGGGAGGCCCCTCAACAGGCAAGGGCTCTGCCTCCTCTGATGGGAAATATTTGAAGGAGGACACCTGACCGGGGTTTCTGAGTTTCCCACCCAGTCCTCTCTCTAGGTTTGATACAAATTGCTTATGCACCAAGGCATGAATAGCTTGTGCTGAGTGGAGGGAAGGAGTAGAAAAGAACATGTGTGGTGAATGATGTCCCATTCACGCTACTGGCCCATGCCTGGTGAGGGGATTGGTATTCTGTTGAGCTTGTGAGAATCATTCATATATGAACACTGCTCTCAGAGGATGGGGTTTTGGAGGGTGGGGAAGTACACACAGAGACTCTCTCTCTCTCTCTCTCTCTCTCTCTCTCTCTCGTGTGTGTGTGTGTGTGTGTGTGTGTGTGTGTGAGAGAGAGAGAGAGAGAGAGAGAGATGCAATTGATTTCAATTTCAATATTCTGAGTATGAATAGCATGAACTATCATATAAATGCACATAAAATTGCAGAACTTTTTTTTACAGGATACTTGATGGATGTTTTTTGGTGGGGGGATAGATACACTACAGGTAATCTTTGATCAATTTTCTTGACTGCTCTTTTTTTCCTTTCAAACATCTGCTGTGAACCTTGATTGTGATTGAAGCTCTGATGCTGTAGAAGTGGGATTAATCTTGCAACACATGCCATTTCCCTGATCGAAAATGCCCTCCCCCAAAGCTAATGGTAGCTGTAATATGAAAAGAAAAATGCAGGCAGCATGCAATTAACTGAATTGCCCCAGTCCCCCCCAGCAGAGCTAATAGGAGCTTCAGGATGGGGAAAATTGAGATGGAGACAATGATGTTGGGAGTGGAATATCTTAAATATCTTTTCTCCAGCACTGCTTCTCAAATCAAAACTAGAGTTTTCAATAGCTTTCTTAAATTTACCATCCAGAGAGAGTTGGTAGCAGATCTCCCAGTCATTTATCTTTGGGCCATCTGCTTTTTCACTATATTTTTTTTAAAAAATATTTTACCAGTTTTGGAAGCTGTCAGTTTTCTATACTAAATTTCTGGTATGCTTTATACTGTGATCAAAATCTTTGGCAGCATCCTTTCCAGCTGCTCAAATCCCACAGTTTGGAATATTTGGTGCTAAATCATGTTGGGTTTTTTTGGGGGGGGGGCTGATCAGTGCTCAGCAAGCCAGACAGGTAAAAAGGGGGTGGAGAAAACAAAGCAAAAAATACAAACAGTGAACAATATTGAATAATAAAATTAAGCAGACACCTGCACAACATTAACAATTCATTGCAGTCCTCCAGAGGAAGTGCTTCTAAATCAGCACAATAAATGGATGTTTTAGTGGGAAAATGTGTATTTCACAAAATTTATGTGAGGGGAAACACTGGATCTTATAAACTTCTAAATTATACAAACAATTTCTAATGTGTTTTAAATGAGGAGTGTGAGATAGAGACGCTTTCTTTGTGCCTGTGTGGAAGGGGGCATTATATACTGAGTTTCTCTATATTCATATGGGAGCGGGTGTCTCTATGAAAAGGTATACATTTCTGTTTGTTTGCGGAAAGAATGACTGCGTGCAACAGAAAAATGATTTTCCAGGTACCTAATTACTTTGGCTACAACTCTATATACACTGACATGGGAACAGATCCTACTGAGCGCAATGGGGCTTACTTCTCTGGAGTAACTTGTGTAGGATCTCACTGCTAATTACTGAAGTCCTTGAAATGGTTCTTAGCATGATGGCTAAGTTAGTTCACTTCCTTCAATGTTTCTTTCCTTTTCTTTTTCTTTCTTTGAATGGGTTTTGTGTCATGTCTTCACTAATGGCTTTTCAGAGTTCCCCATCTGAAAAATGGGCAAATGCTTTCTGAAAATTCTTCTAAACATGTAGTATCTTAATAATATGCTGCAGATATATGTGTTAAGCATGCACCTTGACATGTAGCCTGGATTTACCTCATTGAGTCCTTGTTTTGTGCTTGTGATGCAGTCAGGGTCGGGAGTGTGAAATCTCTGTCCGCCTAGTATGTCAAGAGACCTGCGAGCACCTAGGGTAACAACTGTACACCTTAGGTGAACATACAGTTTCTGTGGGCTCAGCTCCTTTTCTTTAGGTTCCTGAGTCTTGCTCCTAATTGGATTCTATTTCTTGAGCATTTTCTCTTTTCTAATCAGCTGTCTCTTCATGTCACTTCCCTCCTCCTATCCTAAATTTCGGGAGTTTGTATATAGGTCTTACTGTACCATTTTTGGTAACTGAACCCAACTGGATCTTTGCGGGGCTAGAGACTCAATTTCTATAGGAAACAAGACTGGGTTTAAAATAAAATGGCACTTTTCTAATGCCTTTTCTAACTTTAGAAATCTAATGCATTTTCTGACTCTGGAAATCATACGCGCAAGAAAAGCCTTTGTTATTTTAACATATTTTTGTCACGGTAGGATGTTCACTGGAAATGTTGCAGGTCTTTTTTTTGTAAGGAGAGGGAATAGGCACTAATTTCACCATCTAATGGAAACAGAACTTCAGCCTTTTGGATTTGCCACTGTGATGCCATTGTCAACTAGTAATGGCTCCCATAAGAATGATGTGACTCCAGCAGTAATTCTGGAGTCACTCCCTCAATGTACTGATGCCCATTGCCCCAGGATGCCAGTTAAATGGAAGAGCAGATGACTGTCATCAGACTCCAAATTAGCCACTTTCCCTAATTATCTAACAAGCCTCCAGTGATTTGAATAATTTTCTGTGTTAAAAATGGTCTTTACAAGAAACATTTTTGAAGATATCTTGCAGTATGGATACAATCCCAATGAGAGGGGAGGAAAAATATACTTCTGTTTCTCTGCCGCTTCTGCCTAAATTTCTGCTAGAAAAATATCAATACAGGGTTCCACACTCATAATCACCAGTGGAGTTTGCATGGGATTGGGCTATTAGAATGCCTATTTCATCTAGAAGAATGTATTAAACATACAGGGAAAATACACTTCTACCGCACTGTGTGTGCAGTAGTGTTAAACAACCATTAAAGAAACTAACCAGGATTAAGAGATATTCCATATGATTCCTTATTGCAGGTGTCCTCCAGAAGTTTTAGACTACAACTCCCAGCATCCTTGACCTCTGGCCATGTTGAGTGGGGCTGAGCAGAATTTTAGTTCAAAACATCAGGAGGGCACTGCTTGGTTATCCATGCCTTGTGGTATAACAATATGCACAGGGTACTATTCATAGTTCTAACTTTTTATTAACTCAAATAAGTGATATAACCCTGCCTATTAACATTTACATAGGGATATGTAGAAGAGCTATGTTTTTCAAACAGAAGCACTAATACAAAGTATGTCTGAAATGATACACAACAAAACAGGCAACACCTGGATTGGTCTAATCCAGCCTGACTGGTCAAATCCATATAGTCAAATCCATATGTTCTAGTAGTGCATATAAAAGGTCATATGGAATGCCTCGGTACTTTTTAAAAAGGAATTTATATCCCATCTTTCTACATCACTAGTAGCACTAAGGCAGCTAACAAAAGCATTAAAAAAAGCCTTAAAATAATAAAACGATTCAATGCAAGGAAGTTCCGCAGGTATGTATTTCTGTTCTATTTCAAAGAGGAAAACTAGGCAGATAGTCCTCAGTGTATGGGAGCTTGTCCACACTCACTTGTCCCTTGCCTAGAAAGCATGGATCAGAGTGGTTGTCCACTTCCCTTCCTCTTTCTATGCATGGATCCAAGAGATTTTGCCCTTGCCACACCACTTTCCCTGGGGAAACCCACTCTTTGGCAATATATCAGAGCAAATGTCAATATGGAGAAAATATGAATTGCTGTTTGGTCTAGTTGAATGCTAAAGA